GTCCTCAGTCAATACTTTGACAACTGCTGGTCTTAGTCAAATTCTAAGTTATAAAAGATGAGAAGGTAGATGGGGAGGGTAAAAATTGGGAAGGTTTCCCGGTACATACCTTCTCATCTTACCTCCAAAAACATCTGATTTAGGTCAGGGAGGTAATTAGCTAGGTAAAAATTAGGAAGGAGCAGATAAGGATGGGATTTATTTAACAAGATACCTCTAAAATTTTATGTAGCATTTATACTAGCTTTTAACTAAATTGTGTTGTTTAAAACAAGAGAAACCTCAAGATACTGTCCAGCTCTAAAATACATGATCTGTAATCTTCCCTGGCATGTGGGTCCTCATACACCCTAGCAGAGTAAAGATTAGTCCTTATATTGGTTAGAAGAAATGTCCTTTTAAATGTCAGCAATACCTCCCCATGTGCTATTCAAATATACTTTAACAAATCTGTTCATGGATCCCCTTGGGGTTGTGGGTTTGCTTGTTTGTTTTTTAATTGAAGAAATAGATTTATATGTGTTTTTAAAGGAGAAATATAAAAACAGTTTACATATGGACAACAAACACATATATGGAAAATAAAAACTTTCAGTTAAACGCTTTTCAAACTGTTAAACTGTTATCCTTCTGTTAAACACTCATCAATCATTCCCGTAATCCTTTGTAATTCATTCAACAAATCATACCAACCAACTTAGCTCTGATGCCATTCTCAGGTAAAAAACGCATCTTGATTGAATCAATCAATCAGAGGTGTGGACAAGGCCAGACACCTCTGTTGTGCCAATCAATCAATAACATTTCAACTAGACGTGAAAGGAGGTCTGTCTGGATTGGTTGAGGGACTTGGTCACGCTCTGGGAGGCGTGTGCAATACCAGTGAGTTAGTTTGGAATCAAGCATTCAAGGATCTGGTGGGTTTATGGTCGAAGTCTCCAGGAAAATCCCTAAGAAGGAATAGCTTTGGAGAAGGAGTGGGCAAGAGGAAGGAGAAGCTCCTTGGCCTCAGCCTTGGTCTCCTCCCTCTCCGTTACTAATTCTCCTTGTGAATTTGTGAGGCTAAAAGAGCTTTGATCTTATCAGCATCCCAATCTAGTAGTATAACTGGAATAGCTGATGAAGTATTAGGAACCAAGGAAAGAGTAGACCCACTGAGGAAAGGTAGCTTGGAGACTCTACAAAGAGCACAGCAGAGAAGCTGTATCAAGACTGATGAATGAGGAGAGAATTCATGAGTGCCTTAAGTAAAGGCCTTCTAACAACCAGAAACTATGAGTTCTTCCTAGCAACTCACTAAGCTTGAGCCCACTTTCCCCAGACTTTCCACGTACTTCTGGAATGATGTCAGAATTTGGAGAATTGCTTTATACTAACTACGCCATGGTAGTAAATATCCATTTTATTATTGTTGCTATTTGTTCTTTGTTATTAAAGAGGACCATGACATCAGGAAGATGATGCAATGACTTGCAAATGAATTGGATTTAAGTGAGGGAGGGCTGTGCAAAGTCACCAGCCTCACTTTCTCCTCCAGAGCCATATGGGTCCAGTGGCAAGATATAGATCAGGACGACTGGACATGGCCCTAGATGCTGGGGGAGACATTGGCCTTTGCAAGCTAAGGCCCCTCCCAGGTCTCAGTTTGACTGAAGCAACACCCATTCAGTGATTAAGGCTATATAGTGGATAGAGTGCTGGGCTTAGAGTCTAGAGACATGGCATTCGATTTTGCCCAAGATACTCAAAAGCTATGCGACCAGGGACAAGTCATCTGATTTCTCAAAGCCTTGGTTTCTCCACCTGTAAAATGGGGATAATAAAACCTGTACTAGCTACCTCATACCTACTTTGTGAGGAAAGCATTTTGCTAACCTTAAAGTAATACAGAAATGTAAAGTGTTATTATTATGCTACTTTCCAAAAAAAAAATTAATATCATGGCATTCTTCCCAGTTTCTATTTTGTCTTTCTTTTTTACAGTATCTCTGAAGGTCTACATTTTCCTCCTATCTCTATATCCTATTGCTGCATCCTTCCATCCCATATTCGTACACACCTTTAATCATCATCTACGGGTTAGGCACTAGAGCAGAATTACAGTCATCAGTTATAAACCAATGGGTCATACAGACTCTATATGAAAAAGTATCATCTATATATAGTTTTTTGGTCCATACCTATGACTTCATAATTGGAGAGAACTGCCAATAAAGAAATTCCAGACACTTTATAGTCTTCTAGGAGTTGACTGGGGTATTGATAGGCTAAATGACTTACCCAGGATTATATAGTCAGAATGTGTCTTAGGCAGGACTTGAACCCAGGTGTGGCTGATTCTAAGGCCAACTCTATCTATTCTCTATTACAACATTCTGCCTCTCATCCTCATCTTTATAAATGTTATTTAATGTCTTCAAAAGGATCTCTTCTCATCTTTTTGAAGAAGTTGTAGCACTTGGGATAACTAAGTAGCCCAGTGGATAGAGTGCCAGGCCTGAAGTCAGAAAGACATCTTCCTGAGTTCAAATCTGGCCTCAGACACTTGCTAGCTGTGTGACCCTGGCCAAGCCATTAACCCTGTTTGTCTCAGTTCCCTTATCTATAAATTGAGCTGGTGAAGGAAATGGCAAACCATTCCAGGATATTTGCCAAGAAAACTCCACATCAGGTCGCAGAGTCAGATACAACTGAAATGACTCAAACAGAATAGTTAATTGACATTAAATATTAAAGAGAACTACTATATGGTTAGGCATTTTTATTTATTAAAAAAAGTGTGGACCTAGTCATCTAGGGGAGATTTTGCCACATTTTCCCCAGCTGTTCCAGCCCAGAGAAAGGACAGATAGTTGCAAGTCATGGGAGCTATTCATGACATTCCTTCCTCACCCTCCAGCCTATACTACTGTTGCCTTCAAGAGAAGTGGAAAATTTTCTCCCCATTCCGAATATCTGACTTAAAACATTCTGTCTTATGATTCATGCATGATGTTTGGCGGGGTGGAAAATGAGAATCCTTTGTCTAATTCCAGTTTGGACCCGCTCTACTCATTTGATCTGGAAAAGGGGAGGTGCTCATCTCCAAATGAGAACCTAACCCAATATATGGTGGAGATGACAAGAAATTGGATAGGAATCTGTCCTGAAAACTTTCCATCTCTAGCCACATTTCAAAACAAATGGGTGTGGGCATTCATTGAAAGGATGGTGGCTTGTGGAGGCCTAACAATTTCTAATTCATCACTAATTCTTAAAAACAACACAAAATGTCATGCGTTGAGGAGGGGGAGAGAGAATTTATGACTGGATGGGGAGACATCTGAAAGATAGTCTCTTAGAAAATATAGGAATGATCGAATACACACCCATTATGATCTCATAATGTATGAATGTTTGTGGCCCCTGCAATGACCTGAGAAGTTGACAAATTGGCCAGGAAAATCAACTTTTCCCTCTTGAATTAAGAAAACAGTGCTGTGGCTAAGACTGGCCTCTGGTTGTTAATGCAAGCTTCCCATAAATCTCTGCTTCTTCCCTATCCTCCCTCCCCAGCCAAGCCCACCTGAGGCTGACCATTATGTATAGCTTTTACCTTTGGGATACAATTGTTATCACACATGTGGTAACCTGAAGGCTGTATGATTCAGTGGACAGAGAAAGGGATTTGGAGTCATAAGACCTGGGTTCAAATCCCAGCTCTCCAGCTTACTATCTGGTGAGTCACTTGAACTCCCTAGGCTTCAGTTTCCTCATCTATAAAATGAAGGGATTGGATATGGTGACCTCTAATGACCCTTCCAGCTCTAATCTATGAGCCTTTGAAAAGTGATGGCATCTTTACATGGGTGGAAATGGGTAACAATATGGCCTTAGAAGTGAGATACAGTCTACCTGGCTACAAACATGATTCAGTTCCTGACTTGAGGTGAGTTGGTGGGCTACTTTGGCCCTCTATAAAATGGAGATAATATTCCTAAGTTGCTCTGACTAACAATATAATAACAACAATAATAATGGGTATTTATGTAGCACTTTACCCACATTATCTCCTCTGATCCTCACAACCCCATGAAGTAGGTAGATACAAGAATCACCAATTTACAGATAAGGAAACTGAGACTCAAAGAGATTAAGTGATTTGTCCATGATCATTCAGCTAGTAAACATAGAAATTAGAAGCCAGAACTTTTCCTAGGTCAAATTCAATGCTCTTTCCTCTATATATCCATATGCCATATTTTATGGACTGACATGGGAAAACAACTAAAGATGATTAAGTACAAAGTGATGTAGGTCTTGACTAATTATAGTCGACCTTCATGGGGCTCCCCTATCCTATCTTTGCCCCCTCGACAAGCTAATTTTTTTTATTGATGTTTTAACTAAATGTTTTATGGACGACATTTGTTTTTTTATAGCATCGTCACGTCTAGTTATACTTCCCTCACCCCAACACAATGAGCAGTAACTCATTGTAACTAACCCTTATAATAGACCATTAAGCAAAACTGACCGACACAGCAACTCTTTCTCGCACTTTGCACCCACAATTCCCCACATCTCTAGGGTGCTATTCATCATCTGTTCTCTGTGGTCAAGATTGGTCATTACATACCAACTGAGACTTCACAATGACCCTTTTTGCTACAGAGTCAAAGTCAATGGTCATATTGGATGGCTTCTGTAGTAGTACCAAGATCCTCTTGGATCTTATTAGAAGGCAGCCTAACTTATAAGATGGTCCCACGGGTCTGGATACCTTCCCTTCCCCCTCCCTACCTCCCCCACCCAGCCTCCATGGAAAGCAATATAGCCAAGCTCAACTTTCTGTTTCATGTTTCACATTCTTATATGCCTTCAGTGGTTAAAATGTTCACACTACCATTTGCATTTCAATGATGAAAATTGCTTTCTATAAATATTTGGGGATGTAGACTAGCTCTTGTCCTGCTGTATATCATTTCTCTGAAAGTCAGGTGCTCTGTTTCTCTTCCCAGGGAGCCCCTCAGTCCTTGGAGGCAGCTGTGCTGAAGACAGGGGAGTCTCAAAGTTTTATAAATAAAGAGCTGGTATGTTCAAACAGGAAAGAATTTTACATGAGTGAACAGTACATTGACATTACGCCGTTACTGAAGGTGATCTCACACTGAGAATACTAGGAGTTTTATATCCACACATACAGGAATTTCAGTTGCTACATTCCTGTACTGAATCAAAACAGCTTCAGAAACCCTCAGATCTCCTGTTTTATCAGAAAGAACACACACAAAAAAACCAGGCAGTTTATAGCACATCAAGAAAGGATGAATTAGGCTGGTAATCAGCATCACCTGTTGGGTACAGATCAAGGAAATGTCTGGATTTGTCTGGTAGAGGACAAGGAAGTGGAAAATCATAAACCACCTCCTAAGAAGGGGGCACTTGCTGATCTTAACAATAGCTAAAATAATTCTTAATATTTTATAGCCCTCTCTTGAAATGGATAGTTTTCCTGATGTAGGGAGTGTTAGAGAGCAAAGTAATAAAATGATGGGAACTAAACAATAATAGTAGTAGCTAACCTTTATACAATGTTTGAAGGTTTGCAAAAAGCTTTATATGTATGTGTGTATGTATATATACATACACACACACACACACACACACACACACACACACACAATCTCCTTTGATCCTCCCAGCCACCCTGTGAGATAGATGCTATTGTTATTACCCTTTTACAATTGAAGAAGCTGAGGCAGGCAAAGGTTAAGTAACTTGCCTGTGGGTCATACAGCTGATAAGTTCCTGAGGTAGGATTCAAACTCAGGTCTTTCTGACTGTACATCCAGCACTCTGTCCACGATACCATGTATTTACCCTATTTGCCTCAGTTTCCTCATCTGTAAAATAAGCTAGAGAAGGAAATGGCAAACCACTCCAGTGTGTCTGGCAGGAAAACCCTAAATGGGGTCATGAAGAGTCAGACTCTGTGCCACCTAGAAATGGACCTGGAAATCCGAGGATCCAGCCCAGTTCTGGTGATAATGATGGTTGGATCAGGTGAGATCTACTGCTCCGTCATTTCTCTCAGAGTCACAGAATCATAGATTTAGAGCTGGAAGGGACCTTATAAGCCAGACTAGGCTTCTGACATTTCGAATTCCCTGAAATAGAATCAGTGAGGACACAAACCTTTTACATGTCTTGAAGATGCTGTTAGCTGTTGATTCAGGCTAAAAGAACCTATAGAGGAGTTTGGTTCATTGTTCTACATAGTCTACTGACCTAATGCCTCTGGTTATCTCCTGAACGGCTCCAAAACGTATGGCCTGGAGTTGTTCAGTAAATAATAGATGTGAGTATAACAAGTACTAAGCGAGAAAATTTTTCTCTCATGACCTTGGTTTTGTTGCAAGTAAAACGGAGGATAATGACACTTTCCTTTTTGGTAGAGCTTTGGATTCTAATTAGGCATCAGAAAACACCCCAAGTGGAAATGTTTTATTACTGGTAACATAGTGAAGGCATAACACAGAACGCACTAGACCAAGGGTGGGGAATCTGTGGCCCTCTAGGTCCTCAAGTGCAGCCCTTTGACGCAATCCAAACTTCACAGAACAAATTCCCTTAATAAATGGGAATTTTTTGGTAAATCTTGTACTCAGTCAAAAGGCTGCACCCAAGTACAGTGGCCTCAAGGTCACAGGTTCCCTACTCCTGCACTAGACTGTCAGACAATCTGGGTTCTAGTTTGGTCTCTGCCACTAATTTTAACTTTACTAATGTTATTGTTTTTGTTCAGTCATGTCCACTTCTTCATGACCCTGTGTACCACACTGTCCATGGGGTTTTCTTGGCAAAGATAGGGGCGTGGTTTGCCATTTGCTTCTCTAATTCATTTTACAGATGAGGAAAATGAGGCAAACAGGATCAAATGATTTGCCCAGGGTCACATAGCTATTAAGTATCTGAGACTGGATTTGAACTCAAGTCTTCCTGACTCTAGGCCCAGAGTTCTATCCACTGAGCCACCTAGTTGCCTCCTTTATTAATATTAATTTAACTTTATTAATGAGTCGGTTAACAGGTATTTATTAAGAGCCTCCTATGTTCCAGGCACTATGCTAAGCACTAGAGACCCAAAGAAAAGCACAAAGACAGTCCCTACTGTCTCTGAGGAGGTCACAGTCTAATGGGGGAGACAATATGCAAACAATTATGTACAAACATGCTATATACAGGGTAAACTGGGGAGAATCAACACACAGAAGGCATGAGCCCAGGGGGACTGGGAAAGGCTTTTGTAGAAAGGAGGACCTGAAGGAAGTCAAAGAAGTCAGGGATAAGGAGGGAGAGAATTCCAGGCATAGGGGACAGTCAGTGAACATGCTCAGGAGTAGAAGGGGGACTGTCATGGTGGCCAGTGCCACCAGATTGAACAGTAAATACAGGCGAATAAAGTATTAAAAGACTGGAAAGGTAGGAAGGAGCCAAGTCATGAAGAACATTAACAATCAAACAAAAGATGTTCTATTTGATAGTAGAGGTAAAAAGGGGCCGATGGGGTTTATTGAATGAGAAGGTGACATGGTCAGACCTGCCTTTTAGGAAGATGAATATGACATCTGAATGGAGGATGGGCTGGAGAGGAGAGATACCAACCAGCAGGCTATTTCAACCATCTAGGTATGACATGAGGGCCTGGACCAGGCAATGTCACAAGAGGGAAATTGTACAAGAGATGTTACAAAGGCAGAAACAACCAACGTGACTGGGCAACAAATGAAATTCAAAGGAATTTTGGAAGGGAGCGCTAGCACCTAGGGATTGAGGAAAGCAATGCTTGAGCTGAGCTTTGAAGAAAAATAGAGCTTCGAAGACAGGGAGGTCAGAAAGGAGAGCGTTTCCTGTCTGTGCAAAGGCACACAAATGAGAGAAGGGATGTCATGTGCGAGGAATAAACAAATAGGCCAATTTGACTGGAATGCAGAATGTGTGGAAGGGATTGATATGTAATAAATCCAGCAAGGTATTCTAGAGCCAGTCTGTGAAAAGCTTTATAAGCCATATAGAGGGGATTATATTTTTTCCTAGAGACAATAGAAAAGAGTCAGGAGAGCTTTTTCTGAATGAGAGAGTGACAGGGTCAGATCTGTACTTTTGGATTATCCCTTTGGCTTCTGTGCGGAGAATGGATTAGAAAGTTTGAATCAAGGCATCAACCAGGTAGGGGACTGCTGTAATTCAAGCAAGAGGTGACAAGGGGCCTATACAAGAGTGGTTATGGTATAAGTCCAGAGAAGGAAAAAGATGGTTGGTTGTGAGATTTGGCAAAGAGTTAGAAAGGGCAAGATTTGGCAAGGGAGTGAAACCATGCAATGAAGGAGAGGAAGGAAGTTGAGGATGTCTCTGAGATTGCAAAGCTGGGTGTTCCCTCCTTTGTAAAGTAACATGTGTTGAAATAGATGATCTTGGAGTCAAAAGACCAGGGTTCAAATCCTGGTTCCATCACTTATTCCCTACAGGGAGCTGTAAAAGTTCCTTATTCTCTCCAGTCCTCAGCTCCTTCCTCTGTAAAATGAAGTTTGTTCCAGATCTAAATCTATGATCTGTTAGCTTGAGGAAATTCTACAAATTCTAGAACTTAGCAAAACTCTTCCTACTTACCTTGGTGACAGCACTGTCTCTTTTTTGATATTTGCAATATCCTAGTTGATGCTCAGAGTAGTGAGATATTATGTTTTTTGTTATTCAGTTGTTTCAGTCGAGTCCGACTCTCCATGACCCCATTTGGGGTTTTCTTGGCAGAGATACTGGAGTGGTTTGCCATTTCCTTCTCCAGATCATTTTACAGATGAGGAAACTGAGGCAAAACAGGGTTAAGTGACTTGCCTAGAGTCACATAGCTATAAGCATCCAAGGTCAGATTTGAACCCAAGTCTTCCTGACTCCAGGCCCAGCACTCTGTCCACTGTGCCACCTAGTTGCCCACATATATTATTATATGACCAATCATAGTATCTAATTAATCATACCCAGTTAATCAAAATCCCGATTTTATAGATGAGAAAGCTGTAGCTCAGAGAAAGTAACTCACAGTCACACCTAGTGTCAGAAATTAAGTTTAAATCAGTCAACAAGCATTTATTAAGTACTTTTTCTGTTCTAGGCTAATTCTCAAGGATTTCAAAATAAGCTTTGTACAGATGAAAATACTTGATGTGTATAAATTTTCTGTGATTTCATTTATTTATTCAATTTGGTTCAACAAACATTAAGTGCCTACTGTATGCAAATCACATTCCTTCAAAAACATTTATTAAAAACCCATTAGTCATGGGGTAATTATAATAATAACTATCACACATGTGCTTCAAGGTTCGGAAAAGGCTTTACATGCATGATGTCATTTGATCTTCACAATGGCCCTTGGGACAAGAGGTACAGATATTACCCCCATTTTACAGATGAGAAAACTGAGGCTTACAGAGAGTAAATGACTTGCCTGGGGTCACACAGCCAGCAGATTCTAAAGCAGGACTTGAACCAGGTCTTCCTGACTCTACATCTAGTACTCTGCCCACTTCACTCTCAGTAGGATATCATCATACCCATTTTATAGCGAACAAATTTTAGGCTCAGAAATTGTTATTTGTCAAGGGTCTTACCATCCATCAGTGATAGAGCAGCCCACAGGTCTCTTGATCCACAGCCTAGTTCTTTGTCCAGTAGATCACACCTTCTTTTTGGAATGTTTAGTATTAATTCCTCTCCCTCAAAGTACCTACTGTTTTCCTCAGTAGGAATTCTGGAACCCTTAGATGAATAGGTAGCGTAATGGGTAAGAACACTGGACTTGAAGTCAGGAAGACCTGAGTTCAAATTTTACCTCAAATACTTAATAGCTTAAGACCCTGGATGAGTCATTTAACCTCTCCCATCCTCAGTTTCCCCATCTGTAAAATGGAGATGATAATAATAGCACTCACAGGGCTGCCATGAAGATCAAAGGAGATATATGTACAAGACTTTTTAAACCCCCTGAAGCCCTCTATAAATACCAGCTATTACTAGGTGAAGCCCTAAA